ATGTTTTTCCTTTCTTTCTTTCATTTTTTTCCTTCTTTTCTTTCTTTCTTTCATTTTTCCTTTTTTTTCTTTTTCTCCTTCTTTCCTTTTCTTCTACTTTTTCTTTTCTACTACTTCTTTTTTTCTTTTCTATTTTCTACTTTTTCATTTCTTCCCTCTTTCCTATACTCAGCAATATTTATAGATCTGTTACAGTCTTTTATAACAAGATTACACTTATATTCGATGCCAACTTCTTGTCTGAGTCGGTGGGCCATGTCACCTAAAGACAATCCAATAAACTAAAACAAAAATTCTCTGTTATTAGAAAACCTACTCGTCTAATAATAGTTTCCCAAGTTTCAGTCCTATTTATAAATATTAAACTTTGCATTCTTCTCATGTTTCAATCTATATATATATATATATATATATATATATATATATATATATGTGTGTGTGTGTGTGTGTGTGTGTGTGTGTGTGTGTGTGTGTGTGTGTCCTGGTTATAATTTGACAGTTGTCATGGGACAGAGAGAGCATACTGCAGGATGCTCGGTTCCATCAATATCTGACAGGGTCTGATGCTGGTACACTGACCCATGACATGTTGCCAGTGAGTTGGAATTTAGAGTTGTCTTTCTTCTTGACTGGTTTCCCTAATAAGGCTAAAAAAACTAGCCTACTTTACGTTTTTACTTGTAGCTGAGAGAGGAGATATGAAGGCAATATGAATTATTTTGTTTTCAGAACTGAAAACCATTAAAATTCTTGCATTTACACACACGCAAATTGTCACCATTTTATATTTTTAATGTCACGCATGCTTGTTGTTTGTTTTTGAATTTACTGACTGCAGAGTAGATTTAGTTGGGCACCATCTGCAAGAAAAAGAGCCCCATAATGCAATTCACTCTGCCAGAAATTTGCTGTATTGCTTGGCATTCACACCGGAAGCTCCAATACAACCATTTCAGAGGGCTTGGAAAATTTAATAGTCACAGGACAGATTGAGGGAAAGAAAGATTGAGAATAGCAGTGCATAACACACTTGATGAGCATAAGTAAATGGACAGTAGAACAGGGTTTGGAAGGTACATGGCACATGATCATGTGACTACATGTCTAAGAGTAGTACCTTTCCCATGTCTACCATTCATGTTTTTTTAATTTATTTATCCACATGTGTATGTGAATGTTGCAAATGGTTTGCAAGGAGCTTACTGAGTTTGAAAGTAGATGACTGCAGGAATCTGGAGAGTACAATGACCAAAACACTACGATTATTACAACCAAGATGAGCATGATGCTGTTCCAAATAGCAAAGTATATAATAAGATTCACACCTGAAGAAAGCCAAAGTGTACAATGACGGAAATGCTGTGAATATTACAATCAATAATTTTTCTTTTTAATCATTCCACCCTCAACCAAGTATGTATTATTAAAACATTGTCTGCTTTCATCTACTGTGAAACTGTTCTATACTGGATTCATTTATACAATACAAGTATAATTTAATTAGAAATGTAGCATTCCTAAAATGCCAAGATGAAGCTAATACAAAATTTTATCTATGACAACAGTAATAATATTGATAAAGATGGTTGTTGACTGTACTCACATAGAAATATGAACTTTGGAGAGTTCTTCCAAAAGTATTCCAAGCCCTCTTTCCTCGTCATGTGCCTTAGAAATGTCAACTGTCTCTTAGAAACACCATAGCACATTCACAGAATATTTGCCATGTCAAGAAATGCAGACTTCTGAAGTGATGAGATACTCTAGGATTTATTCTGACTTTCTCAATATAGGTCAATATAGGTCAAGTGGTACAGACCCCAATACTCCATTGATAACTGGGACAATAGTTACCTGAACATTCCACATTCTAGCAACTTCAATCTAAAGGTCAGTGTACTTTTTAAGCTTTTTGATTTCTTTGAGTCACGAGAAACAGCCACATTATTTATTATTATTATTTTTATTTATTTATTATTATTTTTTTATTACTTTTTATTATCTATTTTATTATTTTTATTTGCTTATTTTTATTATCTATTTTATTTTTACTTTTTATTTTTATTTTTTATTTTTATTATTTTATTTATTTATTATTATTATTTATTTTATTTTATTTTTATTATTATTTATTTTATTTTATTTATTATTTTTATTTATTTATTATTATTTTATACTTAGTAATTTAGTGACTTTGAAAATAATATAGTATTATTATTCAGTGGTAATATTAATTATATAGATAATTATCCTGTGAAATATTCAGATCAAACATCTGTTAATAACGGTCTCAGTCCACAGACTTGTTGATATATATCTATATAACAGAAAGGTTGTGTTTATTGATAAGCATATTGAATAAAAATTTGTCTGACTACTATGCCTTCGTAAAACTGTTTTTTCTAATGTGAATGACCAATTACTGTGAGAAATACAAGAAGAATTGGAAGCTTTGAACTCTTTGAAAGCCGCCAACATGCAATTTGTCTCTCAGCTTTTACAGCCGCATCTCTTGCTGCTGCTGCTGCTGCTGGAAATTGTGTTCCATGGCAACCTTTGTGGAAATAATTGCAAGCTTCACAATTCTCTAAGGGAAATCAGCAGCAGTCACAACTAGTACGACCTTCATTTATACAAGAATAAATGGTATGTGTTTCTTTTTCAATCTCTTTTGGTTTTCATTTCTCTGTCTTGAACATGAGTTTTTTTTTTTTTTAGTTTTTTTAGAACTATAAAACAGGAAGCCAATCGGTACTAAATAATAAAATGTAATAGTTACATTTGGTTCAAATCGTGACACTACTCAAATAGATTAGTCCCCTTTTAAAAAAAATATTTTTGAAAATAATATAGCAAAAGATAAAATTTTTTAAGGACAGGAAAAATGTACAGAGCCATGATCGCCTACGCCCATAAGAGACATGGCACATAGAAGATGAATGAGCTTGTGTAAATTGATGGAGAGTAAGGATTTATGAGAGATAACAAAAGTACAAAATTTATTAAGAGCTACAAAGAACAGGAAATTGTCAAGATCTATGTCATGAAGGGACATGTCTCAGAAAAAGTAACCCCTGTGATTGACCCACCCTAATTCATTAAAATGTCTGCCACTTAAGCACCATTTTAAATTAGCCGGGTGGCCTTCTCTTGCAAATTGGTATTGTGCTGTTTTTGTCAAAATGGACAATCAGAAATTCACATGAATAGTCTTGACTAGTAATCTTGCAAAATATATGGTTGCAGTGATGGGCTGTGAGTGATGCCTAGAATTTATTTATGTAAATGATTTGTGTCGAGCATAGCAAGATTACCAATGTCTCTGGACTCAATATAAACAGACAGATTTTCTGTTTAGGAAGTGAGTAATCAGCAGTATTACTAGTGTACGGAACGTTGTGATTATGATTTCCTTTTCGTTTGTCATTGCTTTCTATGTCCCGGTTACGTTTGACCTTCATTTGTGCCGTTCCTGTGTGGAATTCTTCATTGACTCTGCTGTGGATGTGTCGCTGTTTTATTTGCTTTGCTTTGTTTATCTTCAGTGATATTGTTCATTCCATCCCTCCTCATTTGTGTTCCGGCAACAGAAAAATAACTTCAAGCTATTTTGGTGTTAGGGATGACAAGCATGTAGTTTGACATATAAACACATAGCCCACTAGATGGTTGAATTAATTCAAAAGTGATTTGACCCAGAGGGTTGTGGGTTCAATACCTAGCCACCACTGAGGTGAACAAAAAATTACTAAAGGGAATTATCTGAAACTGAGACATCCTGAAAAGGCATGGCACATGGAATTGAAACAATCTACCCCTGTGGAATAAAAGGGTTAATTTCAAAATTCCAACACATATCACCTGAAGAAGGCCAGAGCATACAATGGCTGAAACATTGTGGATATGACAATAAAGATGAAGGCAATAGTCTGAAAAATGTAAATATTGTAAAAATAAGAACTAGGCAAGATATTCCTAAATATGAGCAGTTGAATGTGAAGTTAAACTCCTGTAGATTAAATAAGAGGCTCAGTTCAGAATTCCCTGTAGATTACCCAGATCGATATATACCTAAAGAACACTGGAGAGCACAATGGCTGAAATGTAATGATAACAACAACAAAGATGAGGACAATAGTCTAAATATAAATAATGTAAATGCCCATCGTTTACAGTAAGATCTATAAATACAAATGTATCAACCTTCACAGTTAAGACATGCCATGCTATGTAAACTGGGTCAAACCATCTGCATTTCCATCATATTCCATTAGTAAGGAGGAAGTTTCACTCGAACAGTTTCTTTCCTAGAACTGCTATTTTGTGCAACACTCCCAACCACTTAACCTTTTCAAGTATAGGATTAAGCTTTATCTTTTCAACATATCCTCGTAAACTGGGCTTCTTACCTTTTATTCTTACTGCATTCAGTAACCTTCTACCTTGAGGAACTCTTGGGCTTTATACAGGGGGAACATTATTTTTTTAAAAAATTCATTTTTGTCCCATGATAGTACACTTTCATATACATATACTATTATATAATTGTGCTTATCCTGACTTTCACTAGTTAGTTTGCACAGCCATTACACCCTGCCAATAATTCATAAATAACAGACTATTTCGTTTTGACTGCGTGGAAAGAGGGGAAAAAACAGAACTTTCAGTGAGAAAAAGAAAAAATAGAAATGTTTAACGGCAGTTTCAGTGAGATGGTAAAAGTTAATTTCAGATCTTTTTATTTGTACCCCCTTACTTCTTAAAATAATGACCAGAATTCATATTTATGATTGTTATTACAATATTTTGTTAAAGTTGTTAAGCTCAATATCAGAGATGCTACTTGGTTTCAGTGAGAAAATGAATGAAAAAAAAAAAGAAAGATGGAAGATTTCAGCAAAATGGAAAAATTCATTTCAGTTCTTTTCATTTGTATCCCCTTACTTCTTAAAATAATGACCAGAATTCATATTTATGATTGTCATTAGAATATTTTGCTAAAGTTGTTAAGATCAAATATTTAACGATGCAATAGGGGAATTTCTAAGGATATTTTATTGTCACAGAAATAACCATTAGCTTTTATTCAATCATTAACTGAAGAATAAAGATTCATCAGAAAATTTAAATAAAAAAACCATGAAATTTTCACTGGTCTTTCTAGTAACTATTATTATAGGTCCGTGATTGTAATGGCTTCTTCGTTACTTCAGGTCTTTTATTGTTTGACTATTTGTTTTTGTTAGTTTTTTTGTTTGTTTATTTTCTTTCCATCTTTCTTTCTCTCCTCTCATTTTCCCATTCTTTCTTTCACTCTCTTTTGTCTCACACTTTTTCTCATTCTCTTTCTCCTCTCACTCTATCACTTATTCCCACTCTCTCTTCCACTTATTCCCACTCTCTCTTCTTTCCATTTATTCTCTCTCACTTTCTATTCTGTCTCTTTTCCCCCTCTATTCTGCCCCACACTTCCCACCCATCCTTCCTTCCTTTTCACTCTCCCTCCCTTCTCACAATCTCTTGCTAGTCTTTCATTTCTATTCTATGCTCTCATTTTCTTTTGTCTTTTTCTCTCATGTCTCATTCTCTCTTATTCAATCTCATTTCTCTCTGTTTCTCTCACTCCCTTATTCTCTCTCTATCTTTTCTCACTCCCTTATTCTCTCTCTATTTTCTCACCCCTTATTCTCTATCTTTTTTTTCTCTCACCCCTTATTCTCTCTCTTTGTTTTTCTCACCCCCTTATTTCTCTCTCTATCTTTTCTCCTCCCTTATTCTCTCTCTATTTTCTCACTCCCTTATTCTCTCTCTTTGTTTTCTCACTCTTTCTCTCTCTTTGTTTTCACTCCCTTATTCTCTCTCTATCTTTTCTCACTCCCTTATTCTCTCTCTATTTTCTCACTCCCTTATTCTCTCTCTTTGTTTTCTCACTCCCTTATTCTCTCTCTTTGTTTTCTCACTCCCTTATTCTCTCTCTATCTTTTCTCACTCCCTTATTCTCTCTCTATCTTTTCTCACTCCCTTATTCTCTCTCTTTGTTTTCTCACTCCCTTATTCTCTCTCTATCTTTTCTCACTCCCTTATTCTCTCTCCCTCTCCTCTGTCCCTTTCTCTCTCTCTTCCTTATTCTCTCCCTCCTATTACTCCCTTGTTTTTATTCTCTCCTCTTTCTTTTCCCTCCCTATTTTCTCACTCCCTTGTTCTCTCTCCCTCTACTCTCTCTTCATTTTTCTCTCATTCCCTTTCTCTGCTATTAGTTAATATAGACATATGCCAAAATTTGCATTAGTAAGTTTGTAAATGGATACCTTCTGTAATACTATTGTTAATGGCTCTTATATCTATTCTCAGTCACGACTGATGGTGAGGACAGTATTATGCTGCCTAGCATCAAGCCACTTCATTCAGCTTCCGTCTGAGTAAGATAAGACGAGATAACAAGTGATATATTAACTTAAGAAACCTTATACGTTCAAAATCTCAGAAAATGATTCAACAATACTCCACCCACTGGAATTACCCCCACAGCCTATCTCTGTGTTTCATGGTAGGGTCGCTTACATCTACATCTACCTTTCTTGTTGATGACAGGTGCAGAACTAAATCTTAAAATCCAGCTCTTAATTTTTTTCCCTTACATTCTTTAAGAAACATCTGCTATCTCCAAGAATTTTTTTTTCTGTATCGTTGAAAATTTTTGACGGAACACAGAAAATTATCTGTTAGTTGTTGATTCAGTTGATTAATGAAAGTATTTTAATTAATTTTTGTTTATCTTACTCCATATAAAAAGAAAATGGCATTTAAAAAGATAAGGGCTTAGGTTGTTTTTCTCTTGGTACAAATATGATCACATTTGTTAGGCAAGTTTGGTTAATTTGACGACATGACAACACTTTTTTTAATCTCTTTTAATCATTGGTGATTGATATTGCACTTAGTTTTGAAGACTGTATATGGTGGGGAAACAAATCAGAAGGATGAGATGTGCAAGAAACGAAACTATTAGAATAGAACTGACGCTTGCATCTAGATAGTCCTTTCTTCTTGCTTTCCTTGTCTCATAGTTCTTTCAATTTCTCTTCTGAGTCTGCCATCAACTCAGTGTCATCTGTGTATCTTAAGTTGTTAGCATTATGTCAACTAATAATAAATCCTGGGAAATTTTTGTATTCTCTTATGATTATATCACTGTATATACGTTAAATAAATCCAGTGAAAAAAGACATCTTTGTCTTTTTCTGTTTTTTTTTTTAATTTTTGTCTCTTCACTGAATTCATTTTTTGTTCAACATGCAGTTTATTTATTCCCAAAATATTTTTTGGTTTAAAAGATAATTTTCTTTTCAGTTTCAAAATTAATTTTTTTTTTTTTTAATCATTACACCCCAAGCAAGGCAATAAAGCCACTAAGATTCAAGGGGGATTACTGAGTGTGAGAAAACGTGAGAAAAAGAAAAACACTATTAAAGAAAAAGAACAATAAAAGAAGAGGAATTAAGAAGACAGAAGATAATGATTAACATTGCTTTTAAATTTTTGAAGATTAAAGTTGACTGGAAAGTAACAAGCTGGAAGAGAGTTCTGCAAGTGAGAAGTGCAAGGGGAAAAACATAATATAGAACTTATGGCTGCATCTATCATTTCAAAATGATGAGACCTAGCTCCCAATCTAGTACTGCACTTAAAGTTAGAAAATCCAGGTTCCATAGAGAAAAGTTCATGAGAACAATTACCATGAAAGTATTTATAGAAAATGCACAAGGAAGCTATGTTAGCAACTTCATTGGATAAATACATTTATTGTTTTGTTTCATTATCTTCTGCCATCAAAAATGCTAAGAACTGCACATTTGAAGTCTACCAAGACATTGGAAACTTTGTTTTTTTAAATGAAAATTCTCTAAACATAGAAATAAATGCAAATTCTAAGTTCCAATCTTTGCTGAATCTTGTAAATCAGGAAAAACTTCCAAGCTAAGCTGTAAGAATTTTTGTTTGGTTATCAAAAAATTATGCAGCCTCACCTTATGCTGAAGGAATATTACACCGTTTCATTTGACTAATTCCAGATGTATTTTTTTTTTTTTTGTTGATTTGCATGTTGATTTAGTTTAAGAACAAAACTAATCAGAAAGAATTATCATATCTCCCTAAGGTATTTATAATCAATGACTCTGATTCAATCTTATCATATATAAAGGCATAACCTGCGTATCACCACTGGTCTTTGGCTATACATGTCTCTCTTTATCAGGCAAGAAGTCAATGCCAAAAGACTTGACTCCCTTCATACTGTTATTTTGTATATTTGTTTTTAGTATAATCATGCTTTATCTTGGGAAAGATAGTGGAGTAGTTTATCTTACTTTCTCCATTGTGACCTTATTGAGACTCTATCCATTTGATAGATCATAGTTTTGTTCAATCAGGTTGCAAATCACCCTCCTGTACAGATATGAATGGGGGGAGAAGCAAAAGAAAGATAGCTGAACTACTATATAATAGAAATCCTTCTCTATGGTTGTACATATAAACAATAGGCAACAGAGATGTGGTTCTATGGTGGATCAGAACTTGGGATTATTATGGTAAGTTCTGTCTGGTCTGATGGTTCCATTGATTAATGTTTAGAAATTCATTATTTTAAGTGTTTGTACCTTGCTAGTTTTTTTCTTTATTGTTCATTTTTTTCAAAATCGTTTATATGTATCTAACAATTTCTATAATTTAAATCTTTGTCTATCATGCATTAAGTCATTGAACAGGCCATAAAATGTTTTGTAGATATCTAATAACCGAAGCAATGAGAAAAAATTAACTTTTTATGATGGGCCTTGTTTGACTCCTCTTTCTGGTTAGTAAAATATAACATAAATATTACATCATAACAACAAAGTGAGACATTTATACATATATATAAGTATTTATCAGAAGGATTTGGTTGTACTACTTCAGTAGATATATAAAAGTACTTGTAATGTGGTTGTTAGTAAATGTTTCTGATTTTTGTGTTTGTCTTGGTGATTGAATAAATTATTTGCAAGTGATAAGTCTATCATTAAAAAGTAATATTAAACATGGTGTAGAACTTATCTGTGGTCTTCATTCCTGGAGCCAGTCAAATTCATGTGCTCTGTTTGTAAGAAGCTGATGAAAAAGAGGAAGTCTCTAAATTTCCTGCCAGTAGAGTGGTTTTCTTTTTTCTGTGGAATTAGTTTTTTTTATTTCTCATGATTGTGGGAACGCTACAAACTGATAATGATATCATTTAGTATAGGCAACAAAGTTAAATCAATTTATGACCATTGATTGAATAAAGTGTTTAGTTTGAAATCCCCAGAAGATTATCAACTATGACAGATGCCTGAAGGAGGCTAGAGAGTATAATGGCCAAAACATTGTGACTATAACAAGCATGATGAGTACATAAAATCTAGCAATGTCTTTTTTTTTTCTACAACGTTAAGCAGCCATTTTTGTTTTAAAATTAACCCTTCTCTTCATATTATACTTCCAGCATCTGAAAGTCATGGTTCTTATCATGTATGTCTATTGTATCCGCATCGTTTTTTTTTTTTTGGTAGAACCAAAGTGCTTCCAGAATTCAGGAAGAGGAGAAAAATGACATATATTGCATAAAACTAAGAGTTTTATCCCTTGAAATAAATCCCAGAATTGGACAATCATTGCATGTCAATTATGTTGGCTTTAAAATGTAAGGAAGATCATCAAAAGATATGGAGGGCAGAATATAAACTTCCAAATGAATATGCAAGTTCTTGAGAGGTTAAACAATAAAAAACATTTTTGATATACTGCAATAATTAGATGCAGCTGTAAAAATCATTTATTTTTTTTTTTATTGTTGTCTAATTGAAACATAAACGTTTGAATCAATGTATTTAATACATCCTTCACAAGGCTTGTCGGTGTGATGTTATCCCTGCAATTATCTTAAGGAAATGTGTTTCTGAACTGACACATGTTCTCTGCAGACTCTACAACAAATGCTTTCCAGCTTGTTGGAAATCCTCTTTTGCCATTCTTTAAGAACTTTGGTGAACCTTCTAGTCTCTCAAAATATCATGCTGAATGTTGCTTATTGAACAAGAAATATCTTTGAAAAAGAATTGTTCTCTTTGACATTTTCTTTCCTTATTTTCCATTCATTTTTCTTGCTTCTTTTTTTTTGTTTTTTTTGTTGTCAACAGGCTGAAGTTTCTGCAGCCAGCAAAAGAAAGGTAGACAAGTCTTTTAGAAGTTCTCCTGAAAACTTATTGATTGTGCTGTCAGAATAAAGTGTATTTTTATGTAAGGTAGAGATGAAAAGATTAAGCCAGTATAATATCCAAGAAACCTTATAATATAAATACAATTGGTTTGGATAATTTTTTTTTCATTCTTTTGCAAGTCATGGCTTAAGTCAATTTTGGCAGGTAATTTATGAAGGTAATTGAAATCAATAAGTCCATATATGAATGCAGAAAAAGAACATTTATTTTATTCAGTTGAAAAGGTAGCAAGAAATGAGGAGGTGCTGAAAAGTTCTTGGCAAAATCCACTTCTGAAAATTTGACCAAATGACTGACCAAACATCAGAATAACTTTTCAGCACCCACTCATATATATATATATATATATATATATATATATATATATATTAAAGAGAAGAGGAAACTGCAAACATTTTTGGGATATAATGCAAAGTATAATATATATTTAAAAAATCAACATTATAACCAAAAATGTTTGTGGTTTCTCTCATCTCTTTAAAATATAGACTTTTCTCTCTTTGGAACAACTATGACCTCTTCCATATATATATATATATATATATACTCTCATACTCACATATATAAAGTTTTATATATGTGCATATGAGAGGATCAAACTAAAAATAGACATATGTCTAGACTGTTCAATCAAACATGTCTGGATGAAGATATGCTGCCTATATATATATATATATATATATATATATATATATATATATATATATATATATATATATATATGACACATTTGGCAGAAGAGGTGTGTATTCAGCAAAAAAATTGCAAATTATTCAATATATCATATCCAAGCATTTAAAAAAATTAGAGCCAATTACAATATTTCAAGCTCAGGTTAGGTTTATAGTTCATAACCATGCAATGAGATGAAGTAACATAAATCTTAGATTTGTCTGCGGAATATCATTGCATGGTTACATAATTATAGTGAAATTATCAAGATTTTTTGTCAAAAGTATTT